TTAATAAAATAAGTATTATATCCTTAATCAAATAGTCCTATTTTTCTCAGAATGAAGTCAATAATGTAGGAAAAAAATAGAAACATATTTATTTATATCCTCAAAACTTTTTTCTCAAGGCTCTGATAGGGAAAAAAGGTTAAAGGTTGAGTTAACCTAACCTTTTTGCTGTTAAATGTCAATTTCAATTATCAAGTATGAAGTAATAAAATGCGATTCTATTGATAAAAAATTAACTGAAATAGAAGTAAATGAAGATATTGCAATTCAAGAGAAACAAATATTATAAAAAGTCTATCATGTTTAGGAAAAGTAACAACTTATGTATTATACCGTAATTTTCAAGATCATTTATTTTTATTGGCAATTATTATAAGATTTGTGTCAAATCGAATAACAGACCGAGTGTTAGAAAGCAAAAAGACATATTTTTTTAATTTCTATAATTATAACTGCAATGATAATATTATTAACTTAAATTCTTTGTTAATTTTTAATTTGGGTTATTTGTTATTACATCAAAACTTATAAATGCTATGTTAGAAGCTTTCTCGGAAAATAGGTTTCAGAATAAAATTAAAAATAATAATAATAACAACTGTAATTTCATAATATATTATATTAAATTGAATAAAAGATATAAGATTAGACATGGCTGTTTATCACAGAATGATCTATTTACATATACATATGTTTAAGAAAAAAAAATAGTGTTAAATATATTTTTAATATTATTTAAAAATTAATTCTGTAAAAACAAATAACAACAACTAAGTCAATGAGATGGCAAAAAGTATCTATTACTTTCTTTAGAATGTATATTACGAGATTAAATTGAATTTTATCCGAGCGTCCTTTGTAGATGCAAAGCCTTTTAAGAAAAAATCCTTTTGGTACATCATTTAATTTTAAACAGGAAACTCTTTCTGCTCTTAGATGAGCTTATCAAAAGTTAAAGAAATATATTTAAATTTGGGAGTCTTGCGTGGGAACAAAAGCCATTAATTAATTTGTTGAACTATTATTTTATACAGAATGTAATCAAATATTGTTTATAAAATTACAAAATACACGATATATTTATTACGACTCCGACTATTGAGGCAGGCAATAGATTGATTGTATTCCGTTCAGAAAAGTCTCTTTCGCCAATCGAAATCGTTTTCGCTAATTCAAAATTATTCATATCAAATACAAACATTGGTTCCGTGCTCCCAACTATTGATTCAGCCAACCAATAAGAGCCTCAATATTTATTGTTTTTATATATTCAGATAAAATAGATTTAAATGTTTTTTATATATATATATATATATATATATATATATATATATATATATATATATATATATATAAATTAAAAATACGAAACAAAAATGATCATTTTTCAAATAGTAAATCAATAACTCGGTCATTTGTCCTCTTAAGGGACATGCAATATGCATAATAGAATGAATTTTTCACTATTTAGAGTTTGGAATAAGTTGTTTACTTATCTTCTTTTACCTGGCAATTTCGCAGCTTTAGCCAGGGTCTGCCTTACATGTTGTGAATAGTTTTGGCTAATTGTTTATTACGACCGGCCGCCTGCCTTACATCAACCCTCTTTTGGAGTGCATTAATCAATGATGTCTAAATACTCTTAGAAAGTACATATGACTCGGAAAAATCACATTGGTACTTGCCAGGATCGAACCCGCGCCCTTATGCATGAGAGGCGGGCTTTTAACCACTAGGCCACCATTGACTACAAGTTGTGTACTTATCATTTGAATAAAAAAATATCCAGATGGTTAGTTATAGTTCTATTCTCGATATATATATTTCTAAAAGTTTTATACGATTTATATTAATGTATTTAAGAATTTGTTTCCTACTTTTATTTGATTAATATCTTAGTGTTTTGTCTTTAAACATTTAATTAATTTAAGTCTTTAATTTTAACTATTATTGAATGACAAAAATAAGTAAATAAGGTTCATAAAAAATTAAATATTTCGTAATTGCATAACACCTACTGAAATATAAAAATTGCAACTTTAAGTAGTTGCTTTTTATCAAAATAACGATAGCATATAATATTGGATATCAATATGTATACTGTCGTTCATAAATATCTTTTTAAAAGATTTATTAATTCCAGGAAAATATTGCAAGTTGTATCAACGTATAGCCTTAATTAATGCTTCAAAATTTGGTAGCCAAATTGAAAACTATTAAAAACTCCATAGTCTATAAAAAATGAAAAAAAGTAGAAGGATAAAAACACGTCTTTGCTCTTTTCCAGTCCAGTTTGTTATATTAACGATATATGTATAGATGACACTTTCACAACATGATATAGAAATAAACCACCTTTATTAATCACCTTAAACCTGTTTATACGAAGATTCAGTTCGCTATAAAATAAGAGGCAAATTATTCTTTAACTTTTATTGGCATATGTGTTATAAGCAGTTCGTTCTGCAATTTAAGACTTGCTATTTATAAGAAGGCACACATACAAAGATATATTAATGAAAAATCTCATAAGTACAATCATATAGCAATGAAAACCTTTGTTTCAGAGGTCTCAGCGCCTAGGCAATGCTGAATGTTTTACATTCAAAAATTCCCTTGCTTACCCAATACCTCCAGAACCCACTCATCTAAAGCCGCCCAAAATTGTGTGAATGCAATAATACCAAAGTTATAAAAGACATAATACCATATGTTGTAAAAGTTATTACTAGAATAGGCAATATCTTAATTCATTTTGAAATACAGTTCAAGTAATAGAAATCGACTCAGATGACCTATTTGAGTTAATAATCTTATTGTTTTATAAGACATTCATTTGTTCTGGGTAATATATGTACTTGTTATAGGCACATATTTTAAAATAATAAAACCTTGTAATCTTTGCTCATCAGTCATCACCATAGTATATAATGAAAAATGATTATTGTATTCCAATGTTCCACTTATCTATTATTTTAATTATTATTCTATAGTTCTTAAATTTGAGACTCAAATTTTTATGAGAATGAAATATCTGTAAGAAATTTTACAAATATAAATAAAGTATATACTACAACTCGTATGTCTATTTAAACCTTGTTTTTTGCTTAAACAATGACATCGCTAATATTTAACATAACCAGAATAACTACTTAACAAATTCTTGTTTACTTCAATATACTAATAGATTTATGTCGCATTACTAAACTATTAAAGGATTTAATAAAATTACATATTCATTGATTCAATTAATATAATTCTCGATACACAATATAATTCTCTTTCAGTTTTTATAAACGCTCAAATGCAGGATGTTATGAAATTAAACATTGATAAGAACAGTTTCGTAAATGAATTTTAAAAATTGACACATTGTTTTATGTTGAAGTATACTAATTGCGAATATTATGAATAATCCTGATTTACGTACGTACTTTTCCATATATTTGTTTACATTTTCTCGGGGTCTGACGGTCTTTCTTTAGAGTTCTGAATATTAATGAACACAGTTTAATTAAATCGAATATTATATACGAGAACGTACAAAATATATTCAAGTTACAATTTTATCAGAAACGTTTTATTGCTTTGCCATAGTAATAAACATTAAAAGACTCGATGTACTTTCAACTTATTTTTCTGAGCATATTTATTACTCTCCAATTAATCTCTTTCTTAATTGTTTAATATTTTTTTTAATTCAAAACGTATATTCATGCGGGGCATCTCGGCAGCTGGAATTCAAATGTTTCTCGTATAATTTCTTTTCAACTTCTTACACTCCTACATTATATGTGTATTAAAATTATTAACAGCACAGGTGTGATTTTGTATTTTTACTTATGAATTTTATAAGTGCATTTGTAATTGTATCTGAAAAATTATTAAATTTTTTTTATAACTTATAAATTTTTAAGGACTTTTTAAAGAATGCCATTAACTTGTTTGGTTTCAAAATGAATGAAATTTGAAAACATTCAAAATTATAAACAAAAACAAATAACAAGAATCTTCATATGTTAATTAGTGATGACATAATGGTAGAATAACTAAAATACAAATAAAATAAAACCGTAAAAATTTAGTTTTTTCTTTCTATAAATATTTAATTTTTAATGATGAAAACGCCCAATTATAAACTTAACAACCCTACAATATAACACGAGAAACTTCGTTCTTAGAAAAGTAGGATATTTTATGACGTTTAAGCTTAGGAAAAAAAGTAAAAGTAAAGTAAAAAAAATACATAATTCCTTCACGAACTGATACATAAATCACATTGGAGTTATAACATTCGTGAAGAGTAAATATCATTAGTTTGTTTTCATATAATCTCTTATTTTATGAAACACTTAATAAAATCTTAATGAGCCATTTTTTTTAATACAAATATTTGAACAAAATACTTTCATGTTAGTTTAGTAACCAATATCAATGTCATGAAAACTAAATCCATTTTGAAAGATAATACTACATGCCGTATTTGATCTTCATTAAGTTAGATGCTCAAAGTAGTTTTGATGGAAAATACTGTAAAGGTTTACAAAACTCTAAACTAACTCTAACTCTAAACTAGTTTTGCTAATTCGTTGCAATTCTTGATTGGAAAAGATGGAAAGGAAAGGGTGGGACAAAGAAAACGGCAACCGGCTCTTTCGCTCATTGAACGAAACGCATCCATTTACGATTACGTACTTCAAAACAATAAAGTTTTAATAGTTTTCGAACAAACAAATCATTCTAAAATTAAAATATTTTTTGGTTTATAAAAGCAGTTCATTAAATATTGTGTTTTATTTATTTTTCAACCCAAACACACACTCAAACACAAAAAGGTAAACAGAAGTTCTGGGGGAAGATTGAAAAAGATAGTTCATCTATTAATATATAATTAATCAATCAATATTATTTATTCCATTCTAGTATATATAACATATTATACAGTTTTACATATTGCCATTTTTGTCTTATAAAATATATTTTTATGCATGTTACAAACATTATTCTATTTCCATAACATTTAAGGGATGACTGCTATCGTGTATATTGTTAGCGGTACACACTTTCTTTCTGTATTTCATAATAAATAAATAAAACATGAAAATAATAGTCACGATACTTTGGATAGTTAAGAATACACCTAAAATATATAAGAGGTATGTACTGTCAGAATCTTTAACTTTGTTTTCATACGATTGTTCAGTGTATGGGTGTGTTGATAGTGTTTGCTTCTCGTTATTTTCAGACCACATCTTCATAGCTTCGATGTTTTCTTTTGAAAAATTCTTGGTCCAGTTAGATAAATTATTATTGAACTGAATTAAAATCTTCCCAATAGCTTCTGTTACGTTAATATTTGAATTGACCAGGACTGTTCTTAGTGAGTCTTGTCTATTTAGCAATTCTTGTAGATAATTTAATAACGATCTTTCGGAGTCATTATGTTCTGTTATTATTTCATTTTTATAATTTGATACATGAGTCATAATATCTTTAAGTGTCTGTGATATAGACGTTGTTTCGTTCAAATTTTTACTGAATATGTCTTGCAGTAGGCTGACTGACACTTCCAAGTTGGTCAGTTTATCCGTTACCTCGTTTCCAGCATTATTTGTTTTGTCTTTTGTTGAGGTAGCATATGTTATACAGGGGATTCCATCAATATTTTCTGAATGAAAATCAAATTGGCCAACCGTGATGACCAGATTTTCATACTGTGTACTATTCAAGCTTATGAGTTGTTCGCAAGCCAAAGGATTTTGTCCAATGTATAATTTTCTTAGGCTTGTTTCAGCGAATTCTTTGAAATCGATTTTAATAATATCGTTATTTTCAAGGTATAGAGTTGATATATGGGGTGAACCACGTAAAAGTTTCGGATTAAATTCCCTGATTGCATTACTAGACAAATTAAGGAAATGGAGATTTTTTAAGCCATCGAGTGAGCCATATTGCAAAGTTCGCAAATCATTATCGTTAAGGTAAAGCGTGTTGATCATATCAGCGTGAAGAAATGTTCCCGGTTGTATAAAAGATATTCTATTTCGACTCAATTCAAGTGAATTAAGAAGCGGCATTCTTTTAAATGACTCTTTAGTGAGTGATGTTATTAAATTAGATTGTAATAATAATTTTTGTAAATTATCAATATTGTAAACGAATAGGGAATCTATATCGGAAATATTACATTCTGAAAGTATTAAAGTCGTTATAGATACGTTGTTAGCTTGACTGAAGTTAAAAGGCCGTTTAATATTCGCTAAGGATACTTCTGAGATATGCAAATTATTAAAAACCTCTCCCGGTATTTCTACATCTATATTGAAATTGAGGTCCACGAAGTTTAAATGACTCAAGGAACGTAAAGAGCTGGAATGGATGTGAGAAATATTATTGTGAGATAAATTTACTTTTTCTAGAGAAGTCATATTAGAAAAAGTTGTTTCCGTTATATTTTTCAAGTGATTGTGATTTAAATATAATTGAGTTAATCGTGATAACTGAATAGTACTCACAGTAAATTTTTCTAATTCGTTATAGGAGATATCGAGAATTTTAATCCAACTCGTTCTGTCAAAAGCTGCGAATTCGATTGTTTTTAGCTGACTTCGAGAAATGTTTAATATTTCTAAGGAAAGTAATCCTTCAAATAACTCATTTGTTATGGAGCTAATTCTTGTTTGAGACATATCTAATTTTTTCAAGTTCTCTATTCCCTTGAAAACATTTGATGCTAAGAAATGTAGGTTGTTATTATTAAGAAGAAGTGTTTTCAAGTTTTTGAGTCCTTCAAAATAGTTTTCTTGTAATTCCTGAAGAGCATTTTCAGAGAGGTCTAAAGTTAATAACGATTCTAGGTCCCTAAATACGACGTTATGAACTTTTTTAATTTTATTCTTGTTCAAATACAATTCTTCCAACATCTTTAAATCTCTACTATCAATATCAATTTCAACTAAATCATTATTGGATAGATCCAACTTGGACAATGAGGTCAAATTTTTAAAACACGATTTTGACATAATTTCTATGCTATTTCTGCTCAAATTCAAACAAGTCAAGTCGCTTCCCATATTACTGAATGCTTCTTCACCAATGGTCGTTATCTTTCCTCCAGACAAATCTAGACTGTCGATATGTACTCCAAGAAACGTATTAGAATTTATAGTTCCAATGATACAGTTACCTTTTATGGATAATTCTGTTATATTGGTGCCATCAAAAGCACCATCTTGTATAGTTTCTATGTTATTGTTCGACAAGTAAACTGTGTGCAGATTAATATTACTTTGAAACAGATAAGTTGGAACAGTCTTGATTTGATTATTTGACAAATCTATTTCCTGTAATTTTTGTAGCCCTCTAAAACTATCTTCTTGTATTGTATTTAACTGATTCGAACTGAGATTCAAGTGTTCCAAGTTTAGTAAGTTCTTCAAGCTTCCTTCACTTAACGACGTCAATTCGTTGTGATCCAGTTCCAGCAGTTTCAAATTTATGAACCTTACAAAGTTTAAGCCCACTGATTTTATTTCATTGTAAGATAGCAACAGCGTTTCGATGTTTCTCATTCCTTCAAACGTGAGCAACTCGATTTTCTTTATCGAATTATGAGACAGATCCAAATAAAGCAGTCGGGGGAACTTTAAAAAACAATTATCTGGCACTGTCTCCAGTTGATTATAACTCAAATCAATAGTACGAAGCCCGCTGCTCGCTTCTATTTGAAAGTCGACGCTTTCGATGGTTGAAATTAAATTTCTAGACATATTGAGTGTAGTCAGAGAAGACATGAAGACTAATTCCTTGAGGCTCAGTTTTTCAACCATGTTGTTAACTATAACGAGTTCCTCTAACATACTCAGTTTGTAAATTTCTGGTGACACTGAAACTAAGTTTCCTTCGATTATACTCAAAGTCTTTACATTACTTGTCCTCATACTATTAAGTGCATTTAATGGATCCTCGAATTCATTTATGTTTACTTCTTGTAACGTAATGTATAGCTCGTAATTAGTATCAAGAGTATAACTGTCGTCATAGTTATTTCGATAGTAATAATCATAGTTGATTCTTTGACGTCGTATGCATGTCCATGACTGCAGATTACTTGTGGGGTCTTTCAAAGTTATAGAACAATTCAGTGCAGCACGGCACTTTTCTAGTTTAGGCAAAGGTGTGAAATGGCATATTCCACTAATACCCGGCAAAGCAGCTATCAGAATTATCATAAAGTTCAGAATCATTATAACTGAAACCAAATAGAAATCGCCTTTTAAATTATAAGTATATAATTATGTTATATGTAACAATGGTACATAATTATGTCATAATCTTCTGTCTCATAATTACTTTATAAAAAATTATTACTATGAAATCCTTTTGTTTAAGTTTTTAAATACATTAATACATACCAATATATTAAGTGTGGCACTTTGTTTGAAATTTATAAAAATAATGTGTTAATTAGTTGAAGCGGCTTCTGATTTATTTGTAATCCGTCTCTCGAAAAAATATACGATTCACAGAGATCAAAAACTTTATACGTTTATTGAAATACTTTGTTCATCGATGGAAGTGTGACGATTACTGACAGATATACGGAGCTGACCATGTAACAAATTTATCATTAAAGTGGAAGCACACAAACAGCAATAATTAAAATAAAGTGCGATAAAAATTATCGGCTACTTCTGTTATAATTTAATATGTAGTTTAAATTTTAACCTTTATATTTTCGTTCAGTTTCGATAATTTTTATTAATTCGTTAATTCTACAGACTTGAAATTAATAACATTGTAGAATCTAGTTTGCTTAGTTTAGTTAGCAATGGGAACTATCCTAAATAGTAACTTAAGCTTTGCTAGTTAGTGTAGTTACACCAGCTGTTTAATCAAAACGCCAGTGAAATAATTTCATTACTTGCCTCGGTATGACAAAATAAAAGTAATGAGCAGATAAAAAGAGAGTTTCAATTGAGATGCCACCAGTGGCTTTAGTGTCTAATTTAGTGTAGTGTAATTCTGACACACACAAACATGTATAGTATGTATGTACATAGTATATTTAAGTATGATAAAAGTATCTATCCTTTAGGTGATGACGTCATTTACTCATCTGTTTTAGTACTTATTCTATGAAAGTAAGTATGACTTTTATCATAACTGTAAGCAGACAACATAACTCATCCTTTACATTTATAAACTCATTATTAGATTCTTTAAGCGAAGTCTTTACATCTAATCCATATACTGAAACAAGCATTATACATCATCATACATATATCTACATTTATCAACTGCAAATATTTACTAAGTTCATAATAATTTAATCACATTAAAGCTAATTACGACCCACGTAAGGCAACACTTACATTCGGCAATCACCATCCAATTTTCTAAAAAGAAGAAATGATTTTGATCCGAGATGTTAAAGTTAATATGAATGAATTATAAATTAGACGGTTTAAGGTTTGTTCATTAAATATATATTTTAATTAAACGAAAATCTTTTGTTTATGTATTCTATAGATCTTGAGCGGTTTCAACCATACCACATAAGTTAGGTAAGTTAAACAAAGCTTAAAAAATAATGTTTGATCTTTTGCCCTCCTACTTACGTCTGTAGTACTATCACGATGAAAATTTGTAGACAACTGTCCTTGTTCCGTTTTTAGTATATTTATAAGAACAAACTTACTAATGAAGAAGCGGTCGTACTTTTGATGTAAGCATTTTATAATTTTTTTAACAATATTTAAACATAAATATCCTTTTTTACATATTATAAAATAAAACGAACTGACAGACATTCACATCTCGCCTGCCTGCGATTGGTTACTGAAAAATAACCGAAACGTCGGGCATAAAAAAGATAAAATAAGCGTAGTAATCCGAAATATATGTATATATATTTGTCTCATTCAAATGGATACTCGCGAAAGTGTAGAAAGTTAAAATTAGCGAGAAAAATGAAAAAAAGAAAGTTAGTAGGAATCCTGGAAACTTATAAGGAATTTTTGATAGAGTAAGTAGATTAAAAAGTCACTACTATGTATATATTTAAAATGAGTAACACAGATCAGGAATTATTTTCTTTGTATTATTATTATCTACTTAATAATAAATATAAGTTACGCTAGGAGGAAGTTATGAAATGACCTCAATATGTCTTCTTCTACCTGGCAATTTCCCAGCTATAGCCAGGGTCTGCCTTACATGTTGTGAATAGTTTTTGGCTATTTGTTTTTACGACCGGCCGCCTGCCTGACATCAACCCTTTTTAGGGAATCAACATTAATCAGTGATGTCTAAATAGTCTTAGAAAGTACATATGATTCGGAAAAATCACATTGGTACTTGCCTGGGCCAGGATCGAACCCGCGCCCTCGGCGACCTCGGCGACGAGAAGCGGGACCTTTAACCGCTGAGCCACCACTGACTTAAATGACCTCAATATGTATAACACTAAAAAGTAATTATGATTATTGCATAACATAAGTACTCAAAATTCTTTTACTAATGTCTAAGTTTTAGCATTTTAGTAGCATCGTAATATACACGACTAACAAAATAACTTAAAGTGACAACAGCTCCTCATATAAGAACTGAAATAATATTTTATAAATTGCTACTTCAATAACGAATGTTTTTAAACATATTAGTGATGTAAATATCGTCACTACTTTAATAGAATGTATTTTATGGTAGAGCTTGTGTATTCAGTCGCATCCCTAACTAGTAAATAAGTAGTCATTCCAGAATTACATTGTTGGCTCTGAGCCAGATATCTATTTTGGTTTTCTTAGAATATTTACCTTTTTCAGAATATGCAATTTATATAAACCTGTTTTTTTTAATCATACAAAACCAACGATTTCTTTTCACCTACAATCTAGCCCTTAAATTTAACCTTTAATATCAACTCGTCCAATGATTAAATCTGAAATAAATAATAAAAAATGTAGGACAAGCGAAATATAATAACCTAATGCACACAGAGCATAACTAAGTCAATCTAATAAAATATCACGAAAATTATACCAACCATAAAAATGTGGTGACATAACTAACCATTTTTCTTTTTGATGACGCAGGGAAACTCTTTTTACGAGCCTTCCAACCAGCCTTGGAGTGCTGGGCCGAGTCCACCGCACTCATGGCAGACTTCTCCCGGATCTGTTTGCGTTTCCGCCTCATCCAACGCTCTGCCGTTGTACGTCTACCGTACGGCTGCTCCGCCAGGTCCTTCCCCCCGTGCCGACGAACCGCTATGATCTCCTCCGACGAAGGGTTCTCGCCGAGTGCCCTCCTACCCGAGACATAGGTTAACAGCTCGCCACGAGTGACATACCTAACCAAAAGATTATATTAAAACTATTGAAGTCTAGAGTTGAATCGTTTTGGTCCTATACGGCGACAGGAATCATCCATTCTTATGATTGTCAATAATGTGACAATAAAAACAGAGATCAACAAGGCACCTTGACAAAACTTCATTAATTAACTAATTTAGATATTGCATGATAAAATTAATATTATGTTTAGTTGCTAAAACTAGCATATTGTGTAACTTTAAACATACATTCCAATAAATGTTTATAAAGTTCTACATAATCGAGAATAATGGAAAAATAAATATATTATGTGAGACCGATACATATGTGTAGACCGCCTGCTCGGTTTAGCTTAGCATAAAAAAAGAAGTAATTACACTTACCATAAGATAAAGCTAGTACGGATTTAGACGAAACAAAATACACAAAGCGTTTATTAAAGTAATTATCGTAGATTTTACCAAAGCTACATATAAACAAGCAACAAGCAAATAAAGACAGTAATTTATAAATAATACTTAATAATATTGAAACAAGAGACATTCATTTGAAAAAAAAAGAAAAAATATTATTTTGAAAATTCATACAAAAACTCATTTTTAAATAGTTCAAATAGCAAATGTATAAAAATATTCCGAGCTAACATTATTATAAGTTACTAGAAATAAGAGCCAAAAATTTTCTTTAATTGTATCTGTTTAACCACAGTGAAGAGTTAGTACAACAAACATTTCCTGAATAGTGAGTCATTGCCTAAATTAAACAAGATGAAGTCATTGCCTAAAAATCTCTCTCTGCCCTTTCTGATTCTCATTAACCTTCAACATGGCTACGTAGTTTATGGAGAGATTGTTCTTAGGAAAAGTAAGGGATGTTTACTAAATGTATTCGCTTATTCTTTTAATTTCTTTATTTGTATCATTACAACAATAACATCAACTCGGTAATGTACAAAGATAATTCTTAATGTTATAAAGATGATGAGAAGGACCTGCGGTAAACTTCAGTATCAAATACAAAACAGCTGCTATTAATTCCTCTAAAGTCTAAAGGAAATTATTCAGCGATCAACATAGACTATTACGCACAAACAAAGGCTCCGTCAACCAACCGAATTAAACAAAAGACCGTTATAAATACGAACAAAACAAAAACACTAAATTAACAATAGAACTTTAACGAACGTATTTCACTAAATAAATACAGAGTTAATTATAGCTCGACTTCACTATGAATCTTAAACAACTTCATTAGATAAATCGTACAAGATTTAGCTCAATATATTTATTATACATGGAAAGGAATATTTTTCTGCTTAAAAAGTTGTTCTGTAGCAAAATTAAAACTTTTATAATACTTTGGTACATAAACATGTAACACTATACTATATACAAGTGTCAATAAAGATGTGCAAACTTTATTCGTATATATATTATCTTCCATTGTTCTAATTTTACATATAATAAAAAATAATAGTGCCTCTTGAGTTGTAAGCGACTAATATTAAAATTGTATTTATGAACAGGTACTAATTACTAACATAACACATTTAGAATACAATAAAAAATGTTATAATAAGGAAAATTCACAAAATTAAAATGTAACATACAATATAGTAATAACATTCTGGCTTAAATAGGTGCCATTCAAATTTAACATTGGGGCTACAGAAAGGTTTACAACTGTAGATTAGTTCTATGTGTAACCTTATCATCTAGTGCAATCATTGTTCACCTTTCGATATAATTATTATGAAAAAGAAACAGTTTTATGATTTATAATGAGTATTCTTTTCTTATTCTGACTGCTTTAGTTTTAATAGGGAATTTCAAAAATCTTTAACAGTGTTACCCACCAAGTATTCAACCGTCTCTTTTCATTTGTAATATTTGTCTCTGAATTCAAGTTAC